TGTACTCATTATAGACATTGTTGTCCACACCACTTGTTGGGGAAACTTGGTAAACAAAAATCAACAAGATTATTTAATAGGCTTATATCAAATCTACAAACAATGGCATAATATATTAGCCTCACTTCAATTTTCTAAATCTATAATACTCATATAAAATAAATCTATAATACTCATATAAAATAAATCAGTTTTATGTGTCTGGGTACCTTTTGTATTTGGTGAAAGTTGCCCTCCAAAATTAAACGAAATGATCACAGTGCGAATTCCAGTATCAAAACGTCAACGTGTTAATCCATTGCTTATCCTTCTATACAGACAGAATCCAGAATCACAAATTTTGCACATGTAGCAGCAGTTAGTTGTGTTATGCACAAACAATTACGTTTCCATGGTTATAGTTCTTTTTTAAAAACCCATACCTTTAAAGTCTGTTTTGTTGTCTCCTTTCTATTCATCTGTAGGCACTACTCACAGATTACATATACTGTATCCTTTACATAGTGTAGGTTATAGTCCAGCACCGGGATTTAGACCAGTATGTAACTTATTGTATTTACTGGACCATTAGTTCATGTTATTTTCTCTATTAACAATTAGAGATCGATATGTAATCAATCATGATATGACTGATACTATAATATTAAAGCCTTTTAATAAATCGATATAATTGATAGAACATTATTCTTTGAAATCATTCATGTATTTATTTGATACATTTAGACACAGTGCATTCATGTTGTAGTTTAACTTAATCATTTAATTCTAACAATATATAACTGTATTTGATTAAATAGATCAGGACAGGACCTCTTATAAAATACATCATTTGGGTTGGGACCAGGATTAATCGTTGCGCAGTTATTCCCCTTTAAACACGATAAAATAAAAGACCAAGGGCCGGTTGATCAAAACTCAGTTATTTTAACGATTTAGTTACACTCTAACGGATCGTTATCTTGCTAAAATGTACTGTCCGTTAAATTTCTGTTGCTGGAAAGTCAGTTTCATTATCCGTTAGCAAACGGACTGATTAAAGTGTAATCCAAGAAGACTGTTTGGTCATTGGTTAAATTTTAAATTTTTAAATTCAATGGACACAAAAACTGAAGAAAGTGGGACAACTGTACATATGTGCAGTCTGTTCACACAACTTGATTAAAGACAAACCGATACGTGTAGAATTTCCTACAGAAAACATTATCAAAAAACCCTGTAGAATACTTTAGTACCTTCCTGTAGACATTTCAACATAAATCTGTACGAAAAACTATAGGATTTGCACTACAGAAAATGTAGAGTATTTGGGGCCGTTATTTCCTACGTACCCCCAAAATTCTTTAGAATACCAAATAATTTCATCCTATAGAAATGGGATAGCCCCCCCACCCCCCCAAAAAAACCCCAACAAAACTGAATGGGTGTACTTCAACTAACATATTTAAACCGATGACGGAGCCCGAGTTAAAGTTAACGGGGCTTCCAACTACAGACTTTTTCTCCGTTAAAGTTAACATACCGTTAACTCCATGTTAACGGGTCGTTATAAGTTAACGGAACTGTAACATCCATAATATGATGGTATTATCGAAGTAACGTCATATTTGATTGTCGGTTTTACACAAGGACAGAAAAAACGACGTAACAGAGACGGTGCAATAAGATAAAATACACATTCCCAGAGAGAGGAGATTCGGGTCATACACGGGCGGGATGGGTGTGTTCCCTTTAGGGCGAGACTTTTTTTTTAAATTTTGGCATACCTAAGAGTGAATCTGAAGTATACCGGGGTGCCGAATCGGAGAGGAACGTAATAGCGTGTACTCAGTATAGAACATCAAAGTAAACTGTCCCATCAACATCAACACAAACGTGACAGACGCCGTTGGTAAAGGAAACCAGTGGGTAATAAATACTGGAGAAAGTTCAAGAGCACCGTAAATATACTATTTTTCATGAATATATTACTTAAATATGCTACTTTCCCTGTCTCAAATAGTACCAAAAGCGCAAGATTTCCAGCGGGACAAATGTTCCACTACTTACTGTGTTAAAACAGCGGGGGCCATGCAAGATATGCCCCGTTTTGCTAGAGATGAATAGATAACAAGCTAAAAAAAACGCGATTTTTCGTACAATCAGGTTTCAACAAAATCGGACAAAAATTGTGACCTCTAGGGGCCCACAACCTTCGTTTTACATACTTTAGTTTTACACAATTTGCATACAGGGAGCGGCCATTTCGTCGGGCAGTTCCGTTTTGATTTTCCCAAAATTCGACCTCAACCTCAATTATGGTGTAACACGATATATGTAAACGGATTTTAAAACCGGACAAAAATTGTGACCTCTAGAGGGATCACACGCTAACAACGCGAGTTTTCGTTCAATCAGGAGCCAGAATCCAGGTCCGATATGCGCAAATTTCGAAAATCGGATAAAAGGTGTGACCTCTAGAGTGTCCACAAGCTAAAAACATGTTTTTTTCGTACAATCAGGAGCCATAATCCATGAAGTTACGATCCGACACATGCCAATATCGGATGGAACCTAGATCTTTGGGGGATAAATCTATATTTCGAATTTCGTCAAATTTGGATAAAAATTGTGACCTGTAGAATGCCCACAAACAGATGGTGGACGGGCGGACAGGGGAGACGACAATATACGTCCACATGAAAATGTGGGCGTATAAAAATGTCCCGGATAGGATAGTACTCAATTACACACAACCACACAAAATATGGCGCCCTTTTTTGAGCAGCACAATTTGGATCCCGATCTGAGGTTTTTTGTGGGTAAAGGGAGGTAATCAAGCCAGAAAATTGGTAGTAATGATTGTGTTGAGCTTTCAGGTGCAGATAAAGCTGATTATAAATATACAAATTATTTATTATTATACAAATTACAAACCTACATTATAGAAGTTTATACCATCCCTGCGACTACTAAAAGTATTTGAATTCAGTAGAACAACATAATAGCTTTTAATTAACATTTGAATGGAAGCGAATCAGTATGATTTTGACTCGATCAGAGAGGAATCAATAATTGTAATACTATGATATCTAATGACTGCAACGTAAATAGTGGGTTAAAATATTGTTGAGTATTTTATAACCTTTTTTTTATTTCCTATGCAATGGATGAAGCTTGATCAATAAATGTTGAGTTAGATAATGTGTGGTATATATATATATCGGTTATCAGCTTAATGATAACCAGAGATAGGATTTTCAATTGTGTGACAGAACCCGCCAGTGATATAAAAATAAACAATTAATTGATAATTGATGACTGCACACATACATGAGCTGTATAATTTATACAGCACTATCACTGGCGGCCTGTGCTGTCACGTCACATGAAGAACGTATATTTTTTATTACAATAAGTTTATAGTCTCCTATTATAGTCTAAAGATCTTTATTTTATTTACCATTATATACCGGGGCACCAGCAGCGTAGCAACAGTTGCCCCTCACCCCTTGACCTTTTGTCACTGCTTTAAGAGGTGGGTTTGGGGAAGCAGTTGTGTACCCGCTGAAAAAAGTTCAAATATGTATTGTGAAAATCTCATCTTTTTTATTCTTTCAAAACACACAGTATAGTAACCTGGCCATGATAGTCGAGTGCTTTATAATATCACATTCTATACCTCAAGGTGGAGCCACGGTGGCTAAGTGGGTAAGACGCTGGCTCGCTAGTCTGGAAGTCGCGTGTTCGCTCCCGGTGTTGGCCGAGAAAGTTCATCGGGATTTCCCAGCGAGGTCCCATGTACACATTGGTGTGCACGTAAAAGATTCCTTAGCAGTTGCAATTCGATAGGCCGTAGTGTAGCTATCCGGGCAAAATTTCCCTCAGCACACAGTGTGGCGTATGTCCGTATACCCGTCTTCATCCCAGTCGGAGCAGAACAGTAGGACGTTAATGCCCATTTCATTTCATTTCATTTCTAACTCAAGGTTATCAGCATTGCATTAACAGGTAAATATTATTTGTGTTGATTTCCAGTCCTTACTAGTTTTGTGTCCAATATTTTTTTAATTCGTTATAATATCATTGTGCTGTATTAAAATTCATCAAGCAACTGCATAAAATAATTTTTGAAAAGTCATTAATGGGCATTTTCAGAAATACAATCCTTTCTATTGTATCGCAAAAACATATGTATTCCTATTTTGAATTAAGGTAAACACGGCCATACAATCGAACGCATTTTATTCCAGAAAAGCCCATTTACAGAAAGAAAGAATTGCAAGAGTAACTACATGTACTTAGAGGTATATGAACTAGGCTGCGTGTGTTTATACTTATATCATACTCAGAGGTATACAATGACTGCATAACCGAGTTGAATCCTATTTTAAGCATCTCTAGTCAAACAGCACAATTTCTGAAAACTGCTCCCCTTCCCCTTCATTATTTGGGTACTTCCAAAAAAAACCCAACTTTTGAATCCTATCTCGATTCTGGCAAAGAATGGGTTTATATAAAACATTCCCCAACCTCTTTGTTTGCCAGGCCATCCTAAGCTTTTATTGTATTTTGTGGTACTGCTTTCATTCGCGGGCCTGGAAAGTAACAGCGTCTATTCCTTCGGAAGGGCACGAAAAAAACAAGATATGCCTTTTTTCATTAGCTCAGCCGGTGGAGACAAAAAGAAAGTTAAACACAATTTGATTTCATTTACTACAACTGCAACTATAGTGTTGTTTACGTCCACTTCTACCTTAGGTGATATCGCAGACTATTTTTTTTTATATTTTTTAGGGACAGTGGTATGTCTGTTTTGTAAGGGATGGTTGAATCCTTCAATATTTAGCAAACGGATCTGCTTTCACATTAATACACGTGATTTGATATCCGGCTTCTAAATTACTGGAAATTAAAGGATTAGTTTTCGTAGAATGGATTGACCAGTCTCACTTATACCTATACCGCATTAAACACGCGGCGTCTTAAGAACGTTCAATATTACCTCATATAGAAATATCCTGGAAAAATTTAAAGTCACGTGAAGACTAAATGAAATGTTATGGGATATAAAACTAAATCCGTTATAAGACTGATGCTATAAAGATTATTTAAGTATTGTGATATTATCATTCAATATATTGCTACGATAAGGTAAGGACGTCTTTATTAATGGTCTAAATTTAGTGGAATATCCTGTCGACAGTAATGATCGTATATTTAAAAATCGCTTTGAAAATCAGCGTGTGTCCGTGAAAAGTAGCAAATTTTCAATTCAACTACGTCTGCTAGCTAAACTTTATCTTACACATTCTGTTTAAAAATAGCCTAAATATATCGTTTAAGCACCTGTGGCAAAAATTGAGCGTAGAAAATATGATTAATTTAGTCTTTCGTTATTAAACTATTGAAAACGTGGCTGTTGTAAGAAACTTGTGGAATTAATTCCTGTCTGTTTTATTTTAATTTACCGTAATTCCAGATTTTAAACAAAGTTGTCGCGATTACTTTTATAGAGACAATAGATTGAAATCCTTGTATTTTCGTTTTGTGGTTTTGGTATTAACGGACCTTACAACACCTCCGTCTACATTTTTATCGGTCAGAGCTCTTGTTTAGGACCATGGCTGGTTTGCTAATACCCGTCTGTTTATGGACACTGAAAGAGTTATTATAAACATACTATTAATATTATTATAGAGACAGTTATTAATAAAAAAAAAGTAATTATAATATTAATATAATTATAGAGACAGTTATTAATAAAAAAAAAGTTATTATAAACATATTATTAATATCATTATATAGACAACTTGAACCATTAGAGAGACTGGTGCAGAACGAAAATGAAGGTTTTATTAATAATAGTTGTTCTGGGCTTCATAGCAGTCAATGCACAAAATCGTAAGTATGATACAGAACAAATAATAAACCCCTCTAAAACTGATATTCTAATGTTACGTATTAAAGCGAGAATTGCATTATTTTTTTTTAAGTCATATGTTTAAAGGCGCTAAGTCGCTAATATTTGGGACCTAGAAATTGACACAAATGGGTCGCAACGCATACAATAATGTAATATGAATGTATATAAATTGATTTACATTCAATCGTTTCTGTTTTTACTGTAATTTCTAATCATTTAGATTCGGCGAAATACGCCAGTATTCTCAATCAAATTTCAACCTCTAGCGTCTGGTTATTCCAGTCTACGCCGATAGTATTTATTGGGCATGCAATGAAATGAAATGAAATGAAATGGAGTTTAACGTCCTACTTTTCTGCTCCTAACCTGGGCTAATGAAGACGGGCATACGCCATACAGTGTGCTATGAGGGAAATTTTGCCCGGACATATTGGGCATGCTCTCTCCAGATAAGAATATAGCGTCAACGTTTGACATGACTTTCGAGTGACTTATTACAAATAGCGCCGAAACGCATTATGGTACACGATTCGTGTACCAATTGTAAAATGTTTATTTTGTCTTAAATATTGGATATCAGAAGGCCATCTTTTCCCAGTAAGATCACAACATCAGTGTTGATTTAAACCGAAAAATAAATCGTGTTTTCAATGTCGAAGATTTTGGATGGTATTGAGTTAGAGACTTAGCTACTTTAAAATATGCTAAAATAAAGCCTTTAAATACATGTTAGCTATACACACATTCCTGTCTTGTTAAAGAATAATCCTAAATCCTATAATTTCCTTGTGTCAGTTGAGAAATTGGCAAATATATCATTTTCTTTTAAAATCCAACGTTCACTTTTACGGCGTTATTATCACGTGTGCAGGTTTGAAAAGGTTCGCCTCTTGCTCAGCTAGGCATCATTAATCTTACCTGTTTAACGGACCCGGTTAATCGAGTCAACTCTCTCTTTCATTTGTGTAGACTTAGTTATATAGTGAAAAGAAGTGATACAAATTCCAAATACCGTCGGCGAGTAGAAATTATTTCCAATTTTTACGCGAATGATTTTTTAAGCGCTAGAATTAGTAGAATGATTCCCATGATTGTATAATAATGATTTGACAAATGTGCAATTTTCGCTTAATGTATTTATGACCGCACGGATCAGCTGAGTTTTCTATCATATGTATAATTACATAACACATGTGTAATGATCAGCTGGGGTCAAAACTTTTACACAACTTACATGTGTACAGGTTTTAGGAATTTGTTCATTTTGGAGCTAATTTAAGAAACTTTAAACTATTTTTTTCTAACAGCCTTACTTGATTGCCTTCTTCTGATATACAGATAGTTTGAATGATAGACAGATTCTGGCTATATCGACTCCATTTTGTATTTCAACATACTAGATCATCCCAAGTACTAGTAGCTTCGACTGCTAAATCCCAAGTCTAAATTATCACTTCACTTGAACAGTTCACGTGACTATCGAATGTATGTTGTACATTTACAAATCAGCTTGATAGATTTTTTAATACCCCAGAAATACGTAGCTATAAATAAAGAGATGTCTATGTGTTAGGGTAGATATCACATAATTATATAATAATTCCTATGTACAGTTTTTTTGTCCGTGGTTTGCCAAAGGATCTGGATGATACCTGGTACAGGGTCATTTCTTGGAATACGATCAAAGCATTACAGGCGAAATATTGATTTCGGCCATTCGGCTTTAAGTCGTTCACGACCAGAGAGAGAGAGAGAGAGAGAGAGAAATGGGGTTTAACGTCCACTCGACACAAACTAGGTCATTTCGGGACTAACATATATATGATTTTAATTTTATTTCAATAATTCGCTTGCGCGTAGGGGTCTTTAGCAGTGGGAGGAAACCGGAGTTCCCGGAGAAAACCCACGCGGTTGGACAGGCGACCCTACTCCTTGTCACGTACAACCGGGGATTCGAAACCACGCCAGTTGACTCAATGACAGGCCTTGTGATACAGCACGCACGTGCTAACCATTCGACCATCCAACCCCCACCGTTCACGACCAGAACTTGTTGTAGACGTCATCGAAATTGTTATAATGAAATTAAAATGATTAATTCATGAATTGTCGTTTATTACAGCATGTGAGTCACTGGATGACGGGCCATTTCTGGCGACCACACCAACATTGAATATCCGGTTATTAGAGGCTACAAAAGAAGGTAATATCTAAATATAATTGTACTTACAACAGGATATTATTTAGAAGACATGTGACAAAGAGGATATAACATTACTGTATAATTGTGTCTCCGGGAATAAACTTTAGTAAAATCGAATTTTGGGAACAATTCAATGAAATAAAACCACCCGCCCACCGCCACACAATAAAGAAACAAACGCCTATTATTTATCATTCTAGATATTTTACACACTGATCAGCAGTAAATATTCGCTACAATCACTGATAGGGAAATGAAATGAAATGGGATTTAACGTCCTACTGTTCTGCTCCGACTGGGCTAATGAATGCAACGAGGGAAATTTTGCCCGGACAGCGGCGCTATGGCCTACTCTTATATCGAAATCCAACTGCCAAGGGATTTTTTACGTGAACGACTAGACAACTGTCCTTGTCAGGTCCCCCGCCCTGCACCACTGACAAGAGAAAACCACGCCGGGAAATCCAGATGAATTTTCTCGACCTACACCGGGATTGAACCCGTGACCTTCAACCTAGCGAGCCAGCGTCTTCACTCACTTAGCCACTGTGGCTCCCCTCACTGATAGAGATGACATGAGCTCGCAGTATTATTTTTTCATTCTGCAAATTAAATTCTAGAACATTTTTTTTAAATCATTAGAAAAATAAATAAAGATGTTTCAAGTAGCCTATATCTAGATAAAAAAATATTTCCTATTGAGTGGAAATGGTATATAAAATGAGTAAAAGGCATTATTCGGCCCGGACCAGTTCACGCTCACAATGTCTTACGGAGTTATAAGAAGACTTTCGTTATTCCTCTGTGAAACAGATTGGATATTTTATAGCTATGCCCTGGTTCGACATTTAGAAAATACACTTATATTTATAATTTTTGTAGTGCCTAGTTTTTTATTTCTTCTTTTCTTTCAACAATAATTTGGTAACTGTTTTAATTCTTTAAACAGATTTGGAACAATACCCAAATAGTGAAAACTACAGAGATGCGTTAAGATTTCGTGGTAAAATAGGGGAGACAACTCCCGATGGCATAACTGTCGCCGTCATGGAAAACTTCCCTTTGATTGATCCGAGATCATTGGTAACGTTTGAAACTTTAGCAAGTGGTGACAATATTGTTCGATTAGTTAATCCAGTGGTTAGAGATGTAAGTAATAAAAATGTATATTGCATGAACTATTATACTGATAGAAAACACGAAAAATACAAGGGGGCATCGGCAGCTTCGAAGTCTTAACTGATAGTAAAATTGTTGCGAATTATACTGTTTTTGGAATACACCAATTCTATCAGAACTTTCTAAAGTTATTATATAGAAATACAGATCGGTTTTAGCAACATTTTGTAGGTGTATAAAAGCTATTTCAAAAGGCTACTAGTTGCATACGGGACAAATGCTTCGGCCTATTGATGTTGAACTGGAACAAAACCGATTTACTATGAATTGTGTGAGATTTGTATTGTATGTAATCAAACGAGTAGGAATTTTTATCCGTATATACATACACAGACAACATACAATAAATTATCCTTTTTTATTGTATGTTGTCTAGTAGCGTATGGTGTATTTATATACGGATAGAAAATAAGACTCCTGTGATGTAATATATGAAATATAATGACGACCATTAGCAATCACCACAACTTCATAAATCCAATAGTATACTTATTTCCTTGTCAAATTTATTTTAGGGTCCAACAGATGATCCGGAAGATGACATTAACTTTCTAACATTCACACTGAAATGTACGCCAGTCACCAATACTACAGCAATGGTAGGAGTGTTTGTCTTATTTATGATGAATACATTACTCACAACTTTGTTCTTGAAATGGAGACTTCAGACAATTCCGGAGTTTATTTTAATATTCGGGGGAAAATCCCTGTACAGTGACATAACAAAATATTACACGGAAATAGTGCATGGTAAACTAAATGCCCAAACGTTTTCCTGCCAAAGGCCAAATTCATCATCACAAATAAACCCAGTGACAAGTGGCATCAGGTGTTCCGGAAAGAGTTAGCATATTCTAGTGTCACACTTTCAAAGAAATTGTTTAATCTCAATTTGAAGACCAATCCTCCACCTGTTTACACGATTTGTACAGGTATAAAGGCTGATATCTCTAGGCCCATGGGTGATCCGCCATGTTGGATGGAACATAAAATAGAATTAGACTATTGATAAAACTGTGAGCCTTTCATATTTACAAATAAGGGCACGGAACTATGATCTGTTGCATTTGTGGAATCTTTTATACAGTTTGGGGACTGAAAATAATTGTGATCATACTACATGTAATTTATTTTCTTTTTTAAAAGAAGTTCTATGACGTCAGAATCCAGATCCTAGACATAAATGATAATTATCCTCAATTCAAAGAATCACCTTACAATATTACTCTAAGTGAAGTAAGTTTTGTACATTATAATAATATGTTCTAGTAATAGGGCCAACAAACTATTACTATATTGTAGTAATAAGGTCTAGTAATATATTCTATGGACAATAATCTAGGAATATATTTTAGTTAACGGGGTTTACAATCTAGTAATATATCCGAATAAAACTAAACATATCCTACTATATATGTTGTAGTAATAGATCCTACAATCTATGGAATTGCACAAATATATACCACTGATAAGAAAGAGGAAACATCGCCGAAAAATCCTGATTTTTGAACTAATACATCAAATATAATCCTATCAAACATTTACTTTATCTGAACTTTTGAAAAAATAAAACTAAAGTAAAGAAACAGGTCGACTAAATTGTTTAAACAAACCGGTTGCTGTCTACTCCTTCAATATACAAATTTATTCTTAATATATTTGGATTTTGCTATGAAAATGTTTAAATTATTATTTCAGCTAACGCCCGAGGGAATGAGTGTTTTTACTGTACAGGCTACAGATAAAGATTTTAATTTATTGGGAAATATGACGTATGAGATAATATCTATGCCTGGATCATTGGTAGGTGGCTTCTTAGTAATGCTTTATATTTCAATTATAATCAAAATATAAATGAACACCGACCATTCTCGCTTGTATGCCTAAGACGTTTTTGTGCAATGAAATGAAATAGTTTTTAACGTCCTATACTTTTTGGACCGACAGGGCTAATGAAGACAGTTTAATGCAATTAAGTTTATGCAATTAAGAATTAAGATTATCAAAAGAACAGATATTCATAGTTGGAGAGATTTTTTGTCAGTTTTCTCAAGAATTAATGGCGTTGAAAATCTTTGGGCAAATCGTATTCGACATTTTCCTCTTAATTTATATATTTAAATACAAGCTATAGATAGGAGCCGTGCTATTATTAATATAAAATTTTAGTAACATATCTAAAATCCATTTATCGATTTAAGTCTTGGTGTTATGTGATAATTTCGTTTAAACAGTCAACTGTTTAAATTGCTATAGCGTAATTTGGTTATCTTTCTCTTGATTAAACATACATTATGCGAGAGCTAAATCTGCCAATTCCGATTTGCTGTTCGATTTTCATTCATGATTTAATCGTGAAATGGATAATGTGTTTTAGTAATGATGATAGAGGCTAGCGATGCCGAAAATTCAATCGCTAAAAATCTCGGTTCCGAGTGGATCAATTTGACTGAAATTTACAGCAAATTCCCTTTACATTATCTAGTTTTAAACTATTATAGTAAGAACTGTCAGTTCTTTATCTAATCTCCTATAATGTATCTTTATTTCTTTTCGTTTTATTTCAGACGGATGGCTCTCAATATTTTAACATAGATATGTATACTGGTGGTTTAATGGTGAAAAAAACGTTAGACTACGATCAACTTGGTGTTAACAACAACTATCTTACTGTTAGAATAAAAGTCACGGTAAACATAATTTATGATTTGACAAACGCCTTCAAGTTAATTACCTTGATACGTTTATATTGTGTACATGGTGGTTTCATCTCCCGAAAATGGTAAAAGCATTCAGGTTCCAACCCGTCTTCAACCGCTCCTGAACGGCATTCCTCGATAAAATCCGGTAATCATTGGCGAGTATGACAGATGGAAAGATCCTATTTCCCATATGGATTAGGACAGCATAAGTTTCTAGTTATAAGTTACCCATGCCGCATGAGCAGGTTCGATGAAGTTTCCTTTATTTTCTTTACCCCTATTAGATTTTCTTGAAATGAATTAATTCATTAATATAATCCGATTTGTGTATGGAGATAGAGGTGGCTAATACGCACTAGTTCTAAAGCTACACAAATAATAAACTATCTGTCATATGAAAATGTTTATGTATATTTGACAATAACAGAGACCTTTATTTTTGTTATTTCAGGATGGTGGTCCGAATGAGAGGAAATCTAACCAAACAACCATGACAGTGTATATTACTGATGGTAACGACCAGGGCGTGGCCTACGTTTACCAAGGTTGTTTTCAACACATGGGTACATGTGCCTGGCCAAAATATACAACATTAGCCAGTCAAATTAAGCAGGTAGGCTAGTACGTAAAATATATGAATTCAGTGTCACTGTCAGTATTGTTTTTGTTCTGTATTGCCTTAATTAATCGACAATTCGTCTGGTTTTAATTAAGCGTAGCCTATATCTACTTGTAAAGTTAAACAGGAATTATGCAAGAGCTAAATATGCCCATTGTAGGTCTTTGTTTACATCAAATAACAAAACATATGGACAGCAGAATAAACGACAAGTAAGTTGTTGCCATTTGAAGTTTACATTTCACCTCGGTATCTTTATGCTTTTGTCAAAATTTAAATTATATTCGAGTGTATGCACTAACATCGATATCAACAGATTATCGAATCATTTAAATTACTATAAATAGGTCATCTTAAAACTTTCATTATTTAATAAGTTGTTGAAATTACTTTTAGGGACAAAGTTTAACAACTTATCCAGTTCCTAATAAAATCTCAAGTTCTACAAAAATACAAGCTAGAGATCTTGACTTAACTTTAGCAGCTGAAATCAAATTCACCATTGCTTCAAGTAAGTAGACATGGGTTTATTTTATTGGTTTAGTTCCAGACACAAGTAAACATTCTTCCCGGTTCGATCTCGATGTTAGCCTAGAAAGTTCCTCGGATTATCCTGGAGTGCTTTCCCCTTGTCGGGACCTGGCAAGGAACAACGCCTAGTCGATTGGATGTGGCGAAAAACCGAGGTCCTGTACGTGTAAACGCCTGCGTTCACGTAAAAGAAAACATGATAGTTTGAAATCGAATTAAGCATTCCGTAGCTTCGATGTTTGGGCAAAATTCCTCTTATATACATTGCATGGCTTATTCCCGTCTTTATTGGCCTGTTTGGTACTGAATAGTAGGACCAGCACGTGATGTAATTCTCCTGTGCTATGACAATGGGAGATAACCCACAAGACACCTTAAATTCAGTTTTATTATTAAGATTTATGTTTTACAGCTATTCCACCGGGTTCTGAACAGAAATTCCGTGTAGAAACAACAAAAGATGAAATGGGATTATATACAGCTGATGTTATACCGACTGAAGCTTTACCAGAAAAATTAGAAGGCTTTGAAATATTTTTAAAGGTAATAGTGTTAGTACCAATTGGCTACACGTTGAAAATGTTTTTTCTCAGTTCCAATGGCAATAGGAAATGAAATGAAACGGCGGTTTGCCGTTATACTTTTTTGGAACAACTGGGCTAATGAAGACGGTGTGATATAAGTTACTGTTTGTTAATAAATGCAAACTATAAACCCAAATATCAAATTGCTTCGAAAGGCATAGTTATACTTGGCATGATAATATTTAATAACCATAGCCTTCACGTGAGATATCGGGTGTTCCCACGTTAGTTAAAACTATTGTCAGTGCAGCAGCCCAAACTCAACTTGGAGACCTTTAGGGCAAATTTAATTTCTCTAATGTGATTGGTGGAAGTCCGATATGCGCACATAAGTTCAGGAGGACCCCACAATACAATCATAAACAATTACACAAGCCACGCCCACGGACAGGACACAATATACACAGACATTTCAAACAATAAACGTAGATAGGGGTCTGGCAGAGGCATTGCCTGTTGCTCGATCTCCAATTCATTGTTTGATCCAGTAGCTACAACAAATCAATGTGTATTTAATAATCCTCATTACAGTCAAACAAACAATTACCCTATCATTTTATTATTTGTAGGCTGAAGAACAAACAGATTTGAAAAGACATGAAATAGCTATGATATATTTTATGGTAAGTATGTTTATAGTAGTCGAGTCGTTAGGACGACTACAGAATGCCCTAGGATGGAATTCCGACGTGTTTCAAGAAAATCCTTGGAATTTATCAAGCCCTGTTCCCACTGTTCATGGGTAATCCATGACTGGCAGACAAGGGAAATATTACCTAGTTGATGGTGTGTAAAATCCACGTCCTCCCTTATGCACACTGGGGTGCACACACGAGAAAACATGACAGTTGGAATTCGACGAAGGGCAGAGTGAAATGCCACTGTCCAGGCAAAACTCTTTTAGGCAAAACTCAAAGGCATGTGTATGTTAGTCTCAAAATTATTGTGTTGAAGATACTTTAAATCCAATTTCTATGCCTATGGAAATATTCACAAATATTACGACACCTTTATTATAAAACAATCTAAACACATTAAAAAATGAAAACACCATATTATAACACAATCTAAACACATGCATAATAATAAATGAAAACACAATAGATAATATTATAAAACAATCTAAACACATATTAATAAATGAAAACACTATAAATATTTTATTTGTGTTATGATTGTTATTTTGACAGGATGACAGGGATGATGATAAATCTACAAGTGAAGGGCAGGGTAAGATTAATTTCTTTATTTTATACGACCTCAGTCAAATGATTTCTTATGTTTACATTTTACAATCCACTGATTTAAAGCAATGGTGATAAATCGACCAATAAACGACCGTCTATAGCGCCCGCTTGTGCGAAGATGCAGAGATCGAACTATAACTTGGTTATAGGTGGTTTTAATTAAACGCAATTGAAGACTGAGTACTGCGATGCATATCAGGTCAAACAATTTATTTTTTATGGACATTTTAACGATGGTAAATTTTGAACGCCTTTCGCGATGGTTGGCATATTAGGATTCCGGGTACGATACACACATTACATCAGATATATTTTTATTTACAGATGGAGATAAAACCCCAGTTTCAAAATATTCAGAACCAGTTTTAGCTCTTATTATAGTCGTATCCATCATAGCCGCCTTTTTACTATGTCTGAGTGTGGCTGTATGCTGCTTAACGAAATATAAATCGTCCTCACCTGCAAGATTTGATGGAGTTGAGGGGGTAAGTATTAATACGCATTTTAAAAGCACATGTTCATTTTGATAACGGTTAACGTTATAATGTACAAATTGGACTCTAGATTAATATACTCGCTGTCGAACACCCTTCCCTCTCCGGACAAGTCTAAACCGTGGTGGCTCAGTAAATTGGGTCTCGAGAAAGTAGATTGTGATTTTCCAGCGTTGTTTTACTCTTGTCAGTGGTGCAGGCTAGAGGGACTGACAAAGAAAAGTGTCTAGTCATTTGGATGGTGCAATATACATGTTGGTATGCACGTAAAATAAACCCCGACAGTTGGAATTCAAAATAAGAATAGCGGCACTGTCCGAGCAAATTGTAAAGTACAATGCATGGCGTATGCACGTCTTGGTGAAGAACAGTAGGACGATAAACCCAATTTCATTTAATTCCATTTCTGCAGTGATTCCTACTTTGAAATCATATATAAGGTAGCGCAGCTGTCCGAGCAAAATTGTAACACTATTAGTGTATAACAGAAGATCGGTTTCGTAAATACAGGTCCTAAACTATACAAGAACTAGTCTACGACAGGAACACATCTAACTATGTTAATTCCACCATTCTGCCCGTCTGCCAAGACAGCGGCTGAACTCGGTTGAGTCCATACACTCGTCCAAGTTTTTCTTCTCCGCCCGGCTCCTCTGTCCTAACTGTCAGTGAACTCCTCAATATATACCCTTGCACACATGGTCATACATGCAATTGTCTCTTTTATCTCGTCACGGCATGCCTACTGACCAATGCATATTCCTTTGAAGTAAAGCGGAGCGTGTGCAAAGACCACTCGTAGTTAGTAAAGAACATACTGAATCAATTAGATTGTTTAATAAGCTCGTGCTTAACAGAAGTTTATATAGAGGTGAAAGTCAAAAATCATATATTGTTAAAACTAGCAGAGTTCATTAAGTTCTATGTACCTAAATGATACTGTTCAATTTGGTGAGAAATATAAATCACTTTGTCACAAAATTTTCCTGTATGGCGTATGCCAGTCTTCATTAGCCCAGTCGGAGCAGAACAGTAGGAGGTTGAACCCCATTTCATTTTAATTCATTTCATATACATGTATATAAGGGTGGGGGTGGGTCATAGTATTTCCGGTTTCTCTTGTAATACGACCGTTTTCATGCACTACATTGAACTCGGTGTATTTGTCATAATTTAAATAATGCGTAATGGTATTAGGCAGTGAGTTCATTTGATTGTCGTCTTTAAATTGGCAATACTGTTGATTCAAGACTCTTTCGTAAATTTCTCGACCATTTCATATTTTTCGTGCACATCAAGGGTAATGGTGGCGAGTTGTGTTATATTCTGAAATCCTTCATCAATGGGTCGCAGTTCCAGGGAAAGAGATTCAATGATTTTTTTTAAAAAGCCAATTTGTATTTCTAGGGTATGACGAATGGGTTTTAATCCTTTATAATATCATCATTACAGTTCAGATCCAAGTATGCATCGAATGGTGGAGACAGCACAACGAGGTTGTAGAAAACACACATGAAGATATTAATATGTCTAAATGTTCTATTAAACAAATATATTCTAGTATAATGCCAGTATAATGACAACACCCACCTACCATACATACATGCAGGGACAATATTTAATATTTAAATATTTTGCTTCTACGAAAAGATTTATCCGGAAAACGTTTTTATGGATAATTAAGGCAAAATTATATTATATAATTACATTTCGAGGGCAGGAGACGTCTGTTGTTATAAACTATCTAAATGTGTATATTAGTGTTTATCTCAGAATGGGTGCAATATGGTGACGACTGATGAGTCCTCAACAACTAGAACAGCTGGAAATTAAATGTTCTTTAATTTGCCATTAAACTATACTGGCTATTACATATAATTCCTAACTGAGGGAAATTTAATTTATGGTATTATGTTAGTTTGACGATATTAATAATTTGTTATGTTTTGTTCTTCATTTTTAATAATATTTCAAGTATTGTACATTTTCTTAGTGCTTTCTTAGTGCTTGTCTTTGTGCTTCATTTTTTAATTAACTGCCAAGTATTGTACATTTTCTGAACTCTATATTCTCATACCAACTCATTCCAAATCATAAAAATTATTGATTCTAGTAAGTAATTTATATATTTCGAGAATTATTAAAATAGAGTTTTTACTTTTAAATTTGTTTCATATATTTCTACAGTTTATTATTAAATTTTGATATATTTTAATCTTTTAGATCTGTTTAGAATTAAGATATTTAATTTATGTATTTGCATCGTTTATACCCACAACAATGAAAGCAAATCGACGGGAGTTTTTTCTGAAAATTTGGATGGCCGTGGAAAAATGTTAAATTAGAGAGAAAGTTATACTATCACAGCATATTAAACATACATTATGCAAGAGTTAAATCTGTCTATTGCAGGTCTTTCTTTAGACCTGAAATGTTATATAAATTATTAATTAGATATTAATTAACTTACCACTCCCATAATCAGCCCTCGATGCCATCGGATGCCTGTGACATTTAGTGGATTTGAATACGTTTTGTGGTGGATGAAATAACCGTAAAAATGGAAAATCGAGACACAGGTTGCAGCCAGAAACACGACTAAAGGATTAAACTGGATATTTCCTAGTTTTGTGGAGGTTATGTTCCTGTTTTGCGGGTAGAATTTGTTTAGTTTGTTTTGGTGAAATAATGGCCCTCGACGGCCGCTAACGAGTTAAAGGGTCATATTGTCTGGCATTTTGGATATTACCATCATCTAATCACCCCACAACATACAGAAGGATTTCAGTGTATTCCTTGACTCCAGAAATCTACGGTTAGACACCAAAATTATCACCCTAGAATAAATACTATGGGAGCTGTAGGGGATTATTTGATGTGGCGGCCGTCTTGGACGCCATCTCGAATTTTTCAAAACGCTCAAGGGTGACCGAGGTTCATCCGGTAGATTCTGAAAGAGGACACCATAGGCTACTAAAATCAATCATAAAAAAAACTTTGTATACAATGCAATATCCAGGTTCACTCGAAATATTGGGTTTGGCGACCGGACTAGTATACACACCATGTTTAATAACCATTACGGTAATTACAAATAGTAATGAAATTCAATAACTATAATAGATAAAGATATAATATTTATTAATACAATATTTTATTTAATAAAGAGACTATATTAACATTTAAAATTGCAATAACACGTGGAGTTTTATTGAGAGCTACAGTATATTTATCAGGTATGTACTTGTGAAGAGAGAGAGAGAGAGAGAGAGAGAGAGAGAGATTAGCTTCCACTCGAAACGAACTAGATCATTTCGGGATTAACATGTTGTTCAATTTTATTTCATTAATTCGCTTGCGCGTAGTGGTCTTTAGCATTGGGAGAACATCAGGGGGACCCGGAGAATACCCATCATGTTGGACAGGCGACCCTACTCCTTAACACGTAGAAGCATTGAAACCACGCCACTTGACTCAGTGACAGACCTTATGATGCAACGCGCACCATTCGGCCACCCAGACCCCCGTGGATGTGAATATGGTTATGGCTCACTAACCAGTGGTTTCCCAGTTTCAATCCGGGTGTTGTCAGGACGAAGAGTATGGCAAAGTTCATTTTTGGGATTGTACGCGTACTTATTGTCGTGCACGTAAAAGAAGCCTTGACAATTGGAATTCGAGCAAACAAAAACGTCCAGGCATCCCTTATAGCGCACCGGTCGGTGCAGAAAAGTAGGACGTTTCTTGGTATATCATTTCTTGTTATTGCATCCAGTATATGGAGGTCAATATTTTTGTCAGGTCATAACGACTCACTTACAATCACATAACGTTATGCATTTACATAGACTTTCTTAAACTCTCTACATTTCACCTTTATTCTATTATGTTGGGATAACGTGTACATTTGAGCATTACAAAGGCTGACATATTCAATAAAGATCTTGGTCTGCTCACGTATCGATGTACAGGCGATAAGAAATATCAAAGATCAAGGTGTATCTTTATCTTAATAATAAACAACATGATAAAAAGTGGTTATGTAACAACAAATAATTATATTATGTTGTAATTGTTGCTCGAGAATAGCACAATATGATAAGTGGGAAGGGGAGTTGGTTATTTGTACTGCCCGGAGTGTACAATCTTTTAACATTGTGTTATCTGATAAGCCTGTTACTTTTACAAGCCCTATAAGGGTAACTTCCATATTTCTCAGGACACCATAAATAGAAGTGGATTTAAGTACGTAGATCAAACGACGGGATGTACAACATATGTAGCCTACGTGTCTTGTCTGGGAAGTTTTAAATAGTTTTAAATTAAAACATTCATCTGTCCGGATATGATCGTTAGATTTGCTTAACGGGATAACGTAACTGAGTAATAAGGAATTTTATTCTTCAGTTGTATGAGTGGCTTGATACTCGAGACGATTACTTACTACTATAACGTTGGAAAGAATAAAAGCATGGCGATACGGGCACTTATATTCGTGCTTTGAACAAATCTGGTTAAAATAGAAATCTAAATTTGGCCTGTTTCTTTTGCCATTTTCATTAGCCCAGTCGAAGCAGAACAGTAGGTCCTTAAACCCCATTTCATTTCATTTCTGTTTTTTGTTGGTGTTTTTGTTTGTGTTATACGTTTGATGCCGTCTACTTCAAAAAGATCTGACATCCCACTGAGCTGACGACAACGAAAATAAAATCCCCCCCCCCCTCAAAAAAAAAAAAACAATAAAAAAAGAGAATAACGGAAAGAAAATGGATCCGCGTTTTAATCAGGTTGTGCCTTGCAACTGGAAGTTTGTATTTCCTCTGAATCGTATCACACACTGTCAAATAATTTAACAAGACAAGGATGGATGTCTGTTACAAACTTTCAGCTAGAATTGAACAGTTCTATTCCCAAACTGGAGGGCGGAGTTGGTGTGTGTGTGTGTGTGGGGGGGGGCGAATGGTTAGCGCGTACACGTTGTATCATAAGGTCTGTCACTGAGTCAGCTGGCGTGAGTTCGATTCCCCGGTGGTACGAGGCAAGGAGTTGAATCGCCTGTCCAACCTCGTTGGTTATCCCCGGGTTCTCCGGTTTCATCCCTCTGCTAAAGACCCCTACGCACAAGCGAATTATTGAAATAAAATTGAACCATATGTTAGTCCCGAAATGACCTAGTTTCTGTCGAGTGAACGTTAAACCCCTAAAATATATCTGAGACTATCCCTTTAAACAAGATGAAAATGTAATTCAGACATACCGGTATTTTCTAAAATAGTGGCCGAATATGTTCTTGTCTTTTAATTTATAACCATATGCTCATACACAACGCTGGAAAACTGCCCAACAAAGCATACGCACGAAGATATAACAAAACACCATATAGTAAACCAAAATGTATCTAAAACTGTTCGCATGGGAACAGGACATGACACCAACCACCTAATATGCCCCTTTGTGAAGTGGGCTTGTGTCTACTTTAAAGTTTTATGAACAAAGACATTTAGATGTATTTGTGTTTCTGTTCAACGGTTGATATTGTTCATTCTAAAAAAATTACCAAACTAAAATTAGCCATGAATATGAAATCCTCTCTTTAAAATTATCTTTTGTAATTGTTTTTGTCTTCAACATTGATAATTCAATCTAAAATATAAGCTATTCACTGAATTACCGACCCTTGTCGCAAGATGGAAGTGTCACAACTGCATAGTCTCCTCGTAACGATAATATAATTGTATAGATCTATCCTTAATGTAAAAAATAAATCATATCAACCCCATTCAATACTATTTTAACCTAAATCAAAGAAATCATCACACATTCTTATCGTTTTTCAAATCAAATTCGTGTAGTGTTCTAGTTTGCTCGTATTTTTTTTATGAAAAATGATATATAAACAAGAATATTAATGTATACGGTGTGATGAAATATGAAATTACCCTGAGGCTTGACATCTACAAAATGGCTATTATTTTGATGGATTTTTGACAAATTGTTACTTTTTGTTTGGGTACACGTATTCGCTAAAAATAGCAAAAAACTCAACTGAAATGATATATTATTGAAATTAACGGGTTATATGAGTTATAATGCGGTTAATTAAACAGGTGATTCAATTATTGGTTAAACTCTAATTATTGTCTCACATCTATTTCAATTCCAATGCAATATGGTTAGGTAAATATTGTTTTATTTTTATCGTTGAGTTTAACTTTAATACGAGTTATATTGTAAAATGTTTGGCGTACGTATTATTTTAGAACGGATTAGTCGACATTTTGGTGTGCAAAAATCAATTTGTAAAATGTAAATGCCTGGAGGAAGAAAATAGAGATATCTACGTTATTGTAGGGAAAGAAAGAAAAGATAACATCATACATACATATGTATACCTTAGGCCAAATTAATACAACTTAAAAACATCTTCTTCACTCTACTTAACCAGCTACAGCGTTCAACAAGGTAAGGACTCTTTTCTATACATAGCAGTAACAAAACTATTTTATGCACTTAATGTATAAGCAATATATTTCTTTATTAATTTATAAATTATCTTTAGCATAGAGTTAAAACATGAAATAGTCTGATCAACTACAACCTTAAAGAATCTTTGGATGAGCGAATGGTTATTGCATACGCGTTGTATCATAAGGTCTGTCATTGAGTCAACTAGTGTGGTTTCGATTCCCCAGTTGTACGTGACAGAGTGTAGTCGGAAGAACGAAATGTCCTGAAATGAGATAAACAATGGCCATTATTCGAGAATACAGCAATTAGTACACACGCTTACACAGTTAGAATTTCTAAATGAATACGCATATTCAAAAATTACTGATTACTGTGGACTATTACTTGACATTTCAAAATCTGAAATAACCAGTGATGATGATCAACTAACCCTTATTAAAGGAACAAGATAGTCACAATAATAAATACAGATTTACGGTGTTCTGAATATATTATATTCATGATGTTTGATTATTCAGGGGGGTGGGGGTGGATGGCCGAATGGTTAGCACGTGCGTGCGCTGTATCATAAGGCCTTCATTGAGTCAACTGGCGTGGTTTCGAATCCCCGGTTGTACGTGACAAGGAGTAGGGTTGCCTGTTCAACCTCGTGGGTTTTTTCCGGGTCCTCCGGTTTCCTCCCACTGCTAAAGAACCCTACGCGCAAGCGAATTATTGAAATAAAATTAAACCATATGTTAGTCCCGAAATGACCTAGTCTGTGTCGAGTGGACGTTAAACCCCATTTCTCTCTCTCTCTCTCTTGATTATTCAGTAATGTAAATACATTTTTGTCAGTGTTTCAATTTAACAGACAGTGTAGCACTAGCTGCTCAAAGAAATAACAGAAACCAGCAGAGATAATTAAAACTGTTAAAGTGTGTGACTGAGTCCTTTAAAACGATATAAGAACACTTAAGGAAGTATCAAAATTAACTTGAACGTCCAGATCGATACATGGCGGACATCGACGCAAATCTGTCAAAGCATATATCTCTCTGTCAAATAGGTGGTAACAGGTGTTCCGAATAAAATAGGCATACCCTGACCCGGATAGAAAACATATATTAAATGGAAAACAGTGGACGGTCTGGAGGCAGAAGTAGGCAATGAAGGCATTCGAGTTTAAAGGGTTCGCAATAATTCAATAAGAAATCTATGTAAAAGGAGAAAACTTCAGGAGCCATTTTGATATTCATGATATTTAAAATTGATTCCTAATACAATCACCAACAGCTGTTGGTTAAAGCATTCGCAAAAGGTTCAACAGTCATCTCCTGACGCTAAATTATCGATATCCATTCGGTATGTACAGGGAGGTTTTAACTTTTGAAAATATCTTAAGTATATACATGTATAGGGTAATATGTATATCACATTTTAAGTGGAACAGAAAGAAAACAGCCGCGTAAAGAGAATAAATGGAAGTATTCCAAATGAATGTCTGACCTTTAAATGATGTTTTGATGACATTAAATACATAGAAGGGATGTGACCTACACAATTTTAAAGGTAAATAGCTTGCGTGTGTCTGTATTGCTCATTTGCTATATTGCAAACTGACAAACTGTCACGCATTCAGGTGTCGAATTTCTACTGAAAATCAACTGATTAAATATAAGGGTTTGTTTGTTTGTTTTTGTCTGGAAATTTGAGATCGGCATATCAAACTAAGTGAAATGAAATGGGGTTAAACATCTTACTTTTATGGGCACCAAATGGGTTAATGAAGGCAGGCATTCGCCATTCGACAGATACCCACTTTGTAAGCAAACTAACTCATCAAACTTATACCAACACTTTTGTTAATTACCTATATCACATGAAATGGGGTTTAAAGATACATTGTCCCGAAAATATTTATTGGGTGTTTTTTCCAGTAAACGTATGGCAAATTTGGTATATATGAAAAGTATTGACTGAAAAAATACTGGATTACACACAAAACACCCATGGGGCAAGCACTGGGCAAATATGCCAGCTTATTGTGTGTTAGCTTGACTGAGGGAACGGTTGTTATTTCTTGATCAAATGGTTGGGGGTGGGGGAATATTGAATGTGACAACGTACAAAAGACTCGGCAATTAAACATCGGAAAAAAAAGTTGACAGAAAATAATTAAGAATTTACTTAGGCCGCAATATGTATGATAAATGGGCAGTAAGTAATGAAAAATACGTTCTGAAAATGGACCCTCCCTCAATGAATTGAGGTGACAACAGTTTATTTAATAAACTGTCTAACAACAGTTTATTTATAGCTTGCGGTATCTCCCCGCGAGAAACAGAGTTTTGAGAGGGATTTCAAGCAAATTTTTGATAGATTAATTAGTTTGAATATGTTTTTAGTCTAAATATATCATCAAATCACACAGCTTGTACGCGGGAAGGTATCTTTCACGGCCTCATTTTCTGCATCAACAGGGATAACGAAGCGGGATATACGTCATGCAATATATTATGAGGAAAAGTTTGTACAGGCAGCGGCGTTAGCGTCTACTTTTCTGCGAATTCCAACTGCAATGGGTTCTTTTATGCATTAGTTTTTCTATTGTTACTGAAATAAATATTTGTAACAAAAAAAAGCAAAAACAGAAATTATGAAAAACGAATCAGATAAAAAAGGACAAAAGCAGAAAATGATCGATAACCCTTGAAACCACAAAAACTTGGGGTCCGGTCCTTTAGTGGCAATGTTTGGGGGCAGGTTCACAAAAGAAATAAAAAAGAGAAATAAATAAATGATAAATAATATGAACAACATTGTAGATAACAATAAACAATATTCATCGACTGCTAGTTATTCATAAATAACTCTGATTTTTCTGTCAGAAATTATTAACATATTGCATGCTATATTTTTCCGATCCGGTAACTTATATTTCTTCTTTGGAAGAAATTACTGAATTCAAATAACATAAAACAGGCGCGGCAGAGTGTGTGTGTGGTGGGGGTTGGGGCTAGGGTGGGCTTTAGTCACCCCCCCCCCCCGCCAATAATTTGGTCTCAAGTACTTTTTTTCTCCAGGTTATTGCACGCATGTAATTATGCGGTTAAATACAACGACGCCCGATTTTAACATAGAAGTTGGACTTTCAGAAGAAAACCCTGCTATGCCCTATACTAATCCCTGGGTTGAGAGATCACCAGTTGCGAGGGTCACGATCTTTAGTTCAACCCCATCTCACTGGCGTTGTATCTATGACAGATTAGGTAATTACAAAAAATCGACGTGATACTGTTTTTGTTCCTTATCCATCAAATAATTCACTGCTATCAGTTATGACCAGTTGAAACAAGCGGTTGCCATGCAAGATACACCCACGTTTTGCAAGAAATGTATGGGGGACGAGGGCTCGTCCTCTTATTCAAGATCTTTTGATCCTTAACATATTTGTTTGGCTGCTGTTTTCACCACATTTAATATAACCAAACAATTTGATACTGTCATACGTTTATTCTTTTGCAGTATAAATTGCTATTCATTTAACTTGTCTCGTGAACACCTCATACAACATTCCAATTCACTATATTTGTTATAAACATAATTCCCAATAATTCTATAGCAGTGTGAATTACTATTGATTTAGACACAAAACACAACATTGTGAGGTCACAGTCAAAGTTAACAGAAAATAATGACATTAATGGCGTGATTATTATTAGATTAACTTCACTAAGTCAACAATACACGACATACGGCGACAGCTGTATCAAGTTTTATACTATGCCTATAGTTACCCCATGTCGGACGTGATGTTATATGTAAACATGAGATATCGACAAGTTTCTGATAACCTAATTCAGATTCTAATATAGTTGTATTATTAAAGTCATGCACAATATGTGGCTATTCTTTAATAATTATCTTTAAATAACAACAGATGTTATATCAAGAGTTACATAGTTGGGTCTAATCCAGAGTTTACGCTGTTTCATTTATGAGTTAATGAAAGTTCTTTTTAACATTCACATTATTATCATTCATGTGAATAATCTTATCAGTCAAGTGAATATTCTTGTTACTCTACTGGATAATTATGTGAATATACGAATGTTTGAATAATTATAAAGTTCAAGTGGCGCTTATTATAATTTATTTATCAGTGAATAGTTTATATCTAGTGGCAGTGAATATAGTGAATAACTTAATATTCACCAAATGTGAATAATCGTATACTTACGACAAGGGAATACTTGCTGTTAACTCTACACACGCCTATGTGATCCCCGAGTGAAATACGTTCTCACTACAAAGCAGTTATCATCACAGGTTTACTAGCGAGTAGATATTAAATATATATATTTACAACCAGTGGATATTCTTTTATTTTAAGTACGTGTCTTTAATACAGTGAAAATATTTAAAATGAAAAGACATAATATCCAAGCGATATTGACTTATCGCGAAGGTAACATTCTTCTATTTTCAAATCATTTTAAATCTATTTATTATGAATTTATAGAAAACATGTTTATTCAAACAATTATACAAAGAGCTCAAATTTTCACAAGTTATCATTAACGGCTGAAAATGCAACCAGATAAAAGATTGCAACCTAGAATAATTTAAAGTAGCATCCGTGTCCTTTTAAGTGTCAACAAAATAAAAAGAACACAATCGTGTGCACATTCACATAAATACATAAAATTGTAAATACATGTTATAATAATATGCACGTATCTATTCACAAATTTCCATAAGTGTCACACGCTTATTTAAATTGCAAATCAGTACCTTTTATAGTTCATTTACATTTTAAAACGACCTGTTAAGTTGCATTTCAATATATCTGTGTCAGAATTATACAACTATGGTTTCAATATCCTGTTCAGGTTTTGACCGTCAGTAACTTATTCAGTGAAAATTTATATACATTTTTGATTTATATTTCAAGGTTTACAGTGTTTTAAGAAGAACGACATGTTTCGATTCCGATTAAAGAGACTTTCCATCGCTGGGATTATTATCTTTATTGTGGTGCTTATATATAATTCTAACAATCGTGTACAGCAACAGACTTATACACATAGAGAAGTGCTAGATAAAATGAATGTATATGACGAATTTGGAGAATTGAGTGAAAAACGGCAAAAATTAATAGAAGAACAATTAAAACAGAACAATGTTATTAAACAGAGTAATGGCGTTGAAGATGACCAATTAGAACAGCATGGTGAATCAGATATAGTGAGGAAGATGGACGTATTAAAAAATAAAAGGAATATAGATTATAGTAGATATACAGATGTATTATCAATGGTAAGTATTAATTCATGTGGGGGTGGGGCGGGGCGGTATTGGATGGCCGAATGGTTAGCACGTGCGCGCTGTATCATAAGGTCTGTCATTGATTCAACTGGCGTGGTTTCAATTCCCCGGTTGTACGTGATAAGGGCTAGGGTCACCTGTCCAACCTCGTGGGTTTTCTCCCGCCCCCCCCCCTCACACACTGCTAAAGACCCTTACGCGCAAACGAATTATTGAAATAAAATTGAACCATGTGTTAGTCCCGAAATGACCTAGCCTGTGTCGAGTGGACGCTAAACACAATCTCTCTCTCTCTCTCTAATTCACGTAGAAATTTCACATGAAAAGCACGGAATATTTAAAGATACATTCACACGAATGCATTTATAGAGTAGTTATTTCCAATAAAAGTATGGTAAATTTTGTATTATATGGAAAGTAGACATCCAATCGTACTAGAAAAATACTGGATTCCCTAAAACTCATCCATTGGGATCACTAACAGGCAGCCTGTCCATTTGTTGTCGGCGGTAATGACGTAGACAGCACATGTTTTTGTTGATCAAATGGCTAGCGGTTGTGAGAACATTGAGAGACGTAAACGTACCGTAGACCCTATGATTAAACGGCGGAAAGGGAAGTTAGAAAAGGATAATCAAAAAATTTACATTGACTTAGATATTTATTATAAATGGATAGCGATTACCTATAAATTGTACAAGCTAAATACGCGTCATCCCCTCAATAGAGTCACGTGACAAACATGACTGTTCAAATATAATTTTACAGCTTGGTATAGTTTTCTTCCGATTAAATGCTTTGAGAAGGGTTTGAAGCAAACTTTTGATAGAAAGATTAGTTTGAATATATTTTTTTGTCCAAATATATCATCACATCACACAGTTTGTACGTGTGAAGGCATTTTTAAATGATCTCGTTATGTTTTAGATGCGTTTCTATTCCTTATCTGGACCGTTTAATCATACCCGAACGCTGATTATATATATAACGTTAATCGGTGTTTAAATTACTGTTTCAAATAATGTCCATATGTTGCATACTGTCCATATCCTCAAGTATGTAATCATCGAATGGTGGTAGTTTTTAGAAGACAAAAGTACACTAACGGCGTGTATTTGTTTTTCAAAGGACAAAATGATATTAGCAGCCAACTAAATTTTAATACATGTATAGGTATTTAGACAATGCAAAATAATTTTCAATTATTTTGTCCCGATTTCCGAAGACAGCTATATGACTTTGCACACACTACCTATTTCGTATATTTCAATTATTAACACTCGTTTTTTGGGGGGTGGGGTGGCTCGGGGGGTCACGTTGAAGCAATTGGTCTCACTTAAGCTGAGTAATGTATCATTCTGTTATGACCGTCATCGGCTAAACCGAAAATTTGGTTTAAAGACTCACTGAAATCCTCAATCAATATGTAACTAATCAGATGTTTATCATTAATCAGTGATTAGATCTAAGTAGTGATTATTTATTTAGCGGTCGGTAATACGGACACATGTTTACTTTTGTGCATCACTCGACGAAGACGGGAAGTGGACAAGCTCTCCATCCAATTCCAACTGTCATGGCCTCACCCGAACGACCAAAGCGGAAACCAGATAGGAAAATCTCGAGAAACTTCTTCGACTAATACCGGGGCCGAACTTGGGATACCTTGACACCAAGCCACCGTGGATCCTTTATGTTTTCATCAAGCAATAGCCACGGCTCCTCACGCTTTTATTCAATTTGTCAGAATTCGTCTATAATAATAATGTAAACTTTAAAAAAAACCGAAACGTAATTGTTATTTTAACTATCTTGGGATTAATCGGGAACAACATTAGCATTTTAAACACTTTTTTATTCCAGCAAAGACCAAAATATTTACCCAATTATAAAAATCCCTGCTGGGAATGGACAGAAGGAAATAGTACAAGAGTGCGCTGTTTGCCCTATTTCCATCTCGTGGGGGTTGATAAATGTGGAACGACAGATTTATGGGGGAGAATACGACAACATCCACAAATTCTTCCTAACGCTGGAATTGGTGGAAAGGAAACACATTGGTGGTCGTGGAGAAGATTTGGTAAATATTAGTTCTCATAATTGTCAATGAATATTATAAAACTTATAATACTATAAGGTTGACAAATTTAAGAATACTCTGTCCTGTTTAGTGTATTGTGGTCATTACCCACAAATGGTCGACAGTTAGGTTTGGGGTAAATAGATGCCATGTTGAATTGTTATATATATAGATAGATTATTGCAACTGCTTAAGACAATTGCCTTCATGCATATGACAGGCCCGTCTGGATTGCGAATAAGATTTCAAGTTAATCAGGTGTATTGGAAATAGGGGGGTGGGGGTGGATGGCTGAATGGTTAGCGTGCGCGCGCTGTATCATAAAGTCTGTCATTGAGTCGACTGGCGTGGTTTCGAATCCCCGGTTGTACGTGACAAGGAGTAGGCTCGCCTGTCCAACCTCGTGGGTTTCTCCGGGTCCTCCGGTTTCCTCCCGCAAGCGATTTATGTAAATAAAATTAAACCATATGTTAGTCCCGAAATGACCTAGTTTGTGTCGAGTGGACGTTAAACTCCATTTCTCTGCTAAAGACCCCTACTCGCGCAAGCGATTTATGTAAATAAAATTAAACCATATGTTAGTCCCGAAATGACCTAGTTTGTGTCAAGTGGACGTTAAACCCCATTTCTCTCTCTCTCTCTCTCTCTCTCTCTCTCTCTCTCTGTATTTGAAATAAACTGGTTCAGTGACGTTAAAACTTTGTTAATCCAAATTTGGCGATAGCGGCATCACTCGGTGATCCTAGACAGGCAGCATCCAGGGGCTTGAGTTAGGACGTGAGGTTGTACAATCTGATATAGATTAAAAGATTTCAAAGTCTAAGCGAGAAATGGTTGGTAACGTCATTTTCTCTTTAAAATGATTGAACGTTATATTGCTAATCATTAGATCCTCTCTAAGATTTCGTGGTACATGGTGAAAATCTTGGCGAAAAAAGCCAAGTGGACTAATGGAAAAACAAAACACTCCAATGTAGAACGTTTTATGCTGATGTTCAAAGAGTATGAGAACTCTAATTGGCTGAATTTTTACATATATAAATAAACATGGGTTTGAAATACACCTTAAAGGTAAACTGAAATCGTTATTTTTATGTTTAGCGAATGGGTGGGGACTCTGCTAACAACTAAATTGCACCATGTAGCTCCGGTGTCGGAAATGCAAGTCCAAGCCATAAGTGGTGACAGCTGACCCCTGGGGAGAAGGGTAGTGTATTCTTACACTTTCTAGAGTACCCATTACCAGTTATCATTTATTTAGGAAGTCCACACTGTCCATAATTTGTTTTTGGACTTTATAATATAGTATTCATTTATATGATTGCCGTCATTTAATTCAGGTTTTGATATTTGGGTTGAAGACAGAACTCCTTGGACTTTTGAGAATTATTTAAGTGTATTTGATGCAGCTGCAAGTAAAATCGAATCTGTTGTAGAGAAAATGGAGGGATATGAAGACGATTATCATCCATTAATAACAGGTTAGTTTGTACACAAAATAATTCTAGGTTGTCCATTCCCAGCTTACTGATGTTTACTCTTCTGACTGTACTCTTCTTACTGACATTTCTTTCTCAGACTCCACTCTAATAACTGACATTTTTTCTGATGATTCACTCTACTGACTAACATTTTATTGTCAGACTCCTCTCTGCTGACATGTCTTCTCTATGACTCCAATCTACTATCTGACATTTCTTTTCTCCGACACCAATCTGCTATCTGATATTTCTCCACTTTGACTCCACGCTGCTATCTGGCATTTCTTCACTGTGAATCCACTCTATTATCTGGCATTCCCTCTCCCTGACTCCACTCTGGTATCTGGCATTTCTTCTTTCCGATTACAACCCGTTATCTGGCATTTCTTCTCTCTGACTCAACCTGGCATTTATTTATCTAACTTCACTCTGTTCACCATAATCTTTCCAATTGACCAAATTATGTTAACTGATCGTTGTATTCAATTATAGGCATCTCGTCTAATGACTTAACTTTGTCAATTAACTAACAATTCTGATGAATAATTTGTGTTTACAGTTTTGACCTTGTGTCAGTAAATCTTTGCGATGTGGACGTTGTGCAATTTTGCTTACTAAAATTGACAGCCTCTTAAGCAATAGATATAGTAATAATTATGTTTTGACAATCTGGGAAAATGTGCAACTATAATTTTAAACTGTTGTGTTCTTAAATTCTTACTATTTTGAAGTTGATGCAAACTTGATACTCAAAATATTTTACGACCCTCACCTTCAGAATCAAAGAATTCTCGTTACATAGTAAATCGTTACGACTTAAAAACAAAATATTTCTAGTGTATACCCAGCCTAAAACCCGACAAGCTGAATATCAATTCATCTGTTTCTTTTTTCAGGGGAAGGGAGTCCAACTGTGTTCTGGGATTTTACTGGTTGGGATCACATGCCACAGAATAAAGATAAAATAGCAGATGATGCTTTATCAACACCCGATGCTTTACATCATTTAACACCTAGCTCTTACTTTTTATTATTACTTAGAAATCCTACAGAAAGGTACCATATTATATATATAATCTATGTTACTAAAAGGTTATAATACACAATGGTCTTACTTTCCACCGACTCCTCATCTAATTCCATGTGTCAATGGTTCTTTTACTCAAACATTGTCGTCCTCGACCCTGTACCACTGAAACCACGCTAAAAAATATAAGAGAACTTTTTCGGCCAACACCGGTATCTAACCCCGGGCCTCGGTTAGATCTAAATATTAAGGCCACCTGCAGATTTCGTCAAGGTCACGAGATGTAAATAGGGCTAGCGCTACCCCTAAACCTAGCACTAGCCCTAGCCCTAACCCCCAATCCCCGGCAACAATCACGTACCCTAACCCTGTTTTAATATTTAGACCTGACCCCGTACCGGGTCTCTTGGTTATTGACGATTGGACGAAAAAATCAAGGCCCACCCGCGTACTCGCTGGCATGCACTTAAACGATTTTATGACAGTTGGAACTCCAGTGTACGTCATCTTTCACAATATTGTAGTTTGCAGATGTTTACTTACTTCATTATATTGGTCGATCAGTAATATAATCTACTGTGATGTCCCTTGAGGAGCCACTATGTTACTTGTTGTTAATTTCAAACGATATTTATATAGCATTCCTATAAAAAATTATATCTCACAATTCTACTATCTGTTAAATAGGTGTTACTTTTTCTATTTCAGAATGTATTCGGATTACATGTTTTTAGATTTATTTCGTCCAGTACATAATATATCAGCAGAAAATTTTCACCATGGTGTTATAAAATCTATCAAGATGTTCGAAGATTGTAAGAAAATAAAGACATTAAAAGGCTGTTTATATGATAAACAGTTACATATGGATATACCGGTAAGGGCCATTTATAGATATTAGAAATGAACTGAAATGGGGTTTAACGTCCTACTGTTCTGCTCTGACTGGGCTAATAGAAACGGACATACGCCATGCAATGTGCTTTGAGGGAAATTTTCCCCGGACAGCGGCGCTACGGCCTACTTTTATATCGAATTCCAACTGCTTGGGGGTCTTTTACGTACAGGCCAATTTTTACACGGGACCTCAGTTTTTCGTCCCACCCCATGAACTTTCTCGGCCAATACCGGGATCGAACGCAGGACCCCCAGGTTAGTGGACCAAAGTCCTACTCACTGGGCCACTGCATGTCGATGGTGTTGGCAAGGCTCTTCGCAACCAATCGTTAGAAATAAAACCCCAAATAGAGTATAGTATATGAAACTTAACCCCTATAACAGCCGTGAACTTCGGGTTCACTAACTGACATCTATGTCACCAATGGAAACATTTCAAAGGTGTGTGTAAGTTGAAGGTGTTAAATTGGTAGGTCCATCTAATATGATAATAATAAATAATTATAACTTGTTTGAAACAAATTAGTTTTAAATCTTTCTTGAATGGTAGTATTTACGTATTTTAACAAACAATAAATTCCACCTTCTACCAGTAGCTACTCCAAACGAACGATAACCAAAAGTTGTCATCCTGTAACTCCATATGATCAGTTGATTAAGAGATTTCAATCGCAGATTTTTTGATTGGATGTAAGAACAAGGAGATTGAACATTTATTCCAGCAGAAACAGGGATATTTTAGAATGGGGTTGGTCACCGTTCTGGCCCTAGAGTTCTGTATGCGTTGTAACGTTGGCATTGTGCAGAATCTACAAGGAAGCTGATCGAAACGGAAAATAAAACTTATCTGTGATATCACTCAAGGTGGAAGCGGACGTGAAACCCCACGAACGAACGCGACGAACAGAAAATAATTAGGGATCGGGTTGGGGGATAAGACCAATTCCTGGGTTAGACAATGTTTAACTTGAATTCATTTTTTTTTTTAAATGCATTACATAAAAATATTTGATATTTAGTAAGTTCTGATGGCTTATTGTACTTTTGATACAGAGATGCATTAAAAAAAATTATTGTATATAACTGACTTTGTGTATTTTTTTACAGGTGAGAATTTTTGTAGGAATGTATGTTGTTTATCTTAAAGAATGGTTTGAAGTATTTGAAAAAGATAGATTTCTCATTTTTAAAAATGAAGAATATTCTAAAGATATTAAATCACATGTTCAGAAAGTTTTCCAGTTCTTAGATTTAAGTAAGTATAGGATGTTCCATTACTTGTATTGTATCTGATATGAAATGTGATGGGGTTTAACTGACGGATATCTGGTACGAGTGTTGCAGTGGGAAATATATTTTAGTGAACAGACATGTTAATTATGTGTGGAAACCTTTTCAAATACGTTATAGTCTATATTGCATCCATCTGGTGCTTCGGTGACCCAGTGAGTTAGGAATTGGCTAGCTAACGTTATAGTCTATATTGCATCCATCTGGTGCTTCGGTGACCCAGTGAGTTAGGAATTGGCTAGCTAACGTTAGGTCTCGGATTCCGTGGTGCACTCTGGAGGTAAAGAATCAGCTATATCTGAACTTTGACTCTATCTGTGGAGATTACATTTTTAATATAGAAACCTTTATTATTTACCAAAAATCACAGAGATCTAACCTGTTTATAGTGATCAGATTTTCAAAGACAATATTATAATGTTATCGTTTTCTATTAAAACTATATTTTATACACGTGTACATTTACAGATACTTTATCAGATGAAGAAATGGAGAAAATTGTAAACCAAAAACGAGCTTTTGACCAGTCTAAGACAAAGAAATCTACTGGTCCAATGTGGCAAGAAACACGACAAATATTGGACGACTTATATAGAAGCTATAATGAAGAATTAGCAGAACTCCTTGCTGACAATAAATATTTATGGAAAGACGATTCTAAATAGTGACATAATTAAACATACTAAAGAGCGAAATCTTGGATTTGTGTAATAACAATATCAATCTGGTTGTGAATGGATATTAATATATGTGACCATTTGTGCAAGACTGTTTTTGCTTGTGAGCCAAAAATAATATTTCTTATTTGAGGAATTTTAGCCAATGTGTATAAAATATGCTTGGTACAGCATCCACTTATTTTGAATTGTCTGTTTGGTAGACTAGAAAAAATTTAATTCTAGTTTCATCTCGGCTAGAGAATTCTTGTTTCGATCCTAACATTCACCGATTGACCTATTGAGTTAAAGATAGGAATGTATACACAAGGATTATTAGGGCGGATGGGGGAGGTGGGGTGACGGGAGGGGGTGGGGACACTGGCTTACTAACCAGGTAGTTCCAGGTTCTAGTTCTGTGATGGCCGAGAAAATGCCTCGGGATTTTACAGCCCTCTTTCACCTTGCCAGTGTTCCGAGGCAAAAAAAGTGTCTAGTCGTTCTGATGGGACGAAAATGGTTAGCGCATACGCGTTGTATCATAACGTCTGTCAAATGACTCAAATGAAATCTTGTGCTGGTTCTTATAGTTAGTATTACTTCGTGAATAATATATTCCGGATGTTTAGATAACATTTCATCTTTCATATCCCCTGACAATTAAATTATCAAATTATAAATATTTTCTGTATCTGTATTTAAACTTGTTATTATTTATCGTTAGATTTTCTTATTTGCTTGATGACAAAGCTTTATCGCAGGAAAACCAACGGGGTAATGAAGGCGACTCACAACACTTGAATTAACGAGTGGAATGACAGATCTTACGATCTAAATTTCACGTGCTATGTCGTGTGGTGTGGAGCACAGGACGGGATATGCATACTATTTGTCATAAAGGAGTTTACAAAGTTTATACAAACAGATTTGTGTTTTACTTTTTTATTTCTCCCAAAGGCCATCCAAAGTGTCTGGGTAAAAGCCATTCGATAAGTTTTAAACCCAGTAACAGGGGACATAACTCGTATAAACCATTCAAGATTTTAACCAGAAAGAGTCGAACATGTCACATTCAACTGATAAAAATAACCGTTTCGATGTTTTGGTATGCTTAGTGAAAGAAAACTATAGTGGGTGATGGTCCGAATTCATGAATATTCACAAAAACCTACACATGGAAGCTGAAACACTTTGATTCTAGCCCAAATATTCAACAAAATGTCCATTCAAAAGTTTGGGCGCGCGCGTGTGTGTGGGGAGGGGGGGGGGGCGAGGAGACTTGCTAAGAGACTCTATATTCAGGTCTTAATTCAAAACTACATAAAGTTATGCCCATAATTATTTTGTCGTGTACATTAGTTTTAAACAAGGTCAATGTTTGAATCCCTAACCAGTTATATATTATGTTATGTAGTCTAATAGCCTGGTCGTTGTTTACCACGTGACGTTTTGAATCTAATCATCTCAAGTTCCAGATCAGGGCCCTGTTTCTCGAAATCTTAACTTAAGACAAAATCAAAATTTTAGTACATACTTCAATTTTGATTGGCTAAGCACTAAAATCAATCTTATATTATCCAATCAAATTACTAAAATTTCGATTTTTTCTTAGTTAAAATTTCGTGAAACAGACCCCAGATTTGTAGACGATGTGACTGTAAAGGAATCCAATTATCCACGAAAATAATTGTTTTTATCAATCTCCAAGGGGGTTTACGTCCTACTCTTCTGCACCGACTGGGCTAATAGAGATGGGTATATGCCACGCAGTGTGCTATGGGGACAATTTTGCACGGGCAGTGGCGCTACGGCCTACCCTCATTTTGAACTCCAACTGTCAAGGATTCTTTTACGTGCAAGCCAATGTGTACACGGGACAAGACGTAGAGTGCAATAACAGATACACGGTTGATTTTCAGCTCGCTAATAATTCCTTTGAAGACGAAAATTTGTTATATTAGACTGAGAGGATATCTGTTCGAATCTGATAATTCGTAAAAAGATTTGTCAGTCACTAGATAAAAGAAAGCGAGAAAAAAAAAATAGAAATATTCAGTGCATTACTTTGTTTTTATTCAGTCCTTACTTATATATTTTAACCGATAATTACAGTTTATTCTGGTAGCCCTATAACTATAGACATACTATTTTATTCTTAAAAGCTACGACTATCTCCGCCATATGGATTACAAATTGCAACACGGCGAACAAATCCAGAGATAAAAAATTTTAGGCCTACTGCGTGTTCAGCAATACTTGGCCTATTTACTGATGAATCTTTTTTTTTTCAAATTTGGTGTGAAACGGTGTGGTCACAAGAGGACGAACTCTATCGTTATCCAACGTTCCACGACCTTCCGCACCATAATTATTCCTCTCTTATTCTATGTTTCTTAAACAGAAGTTTTCTTTTAAATATGTTTACAGGCAGTGTCGATAAATTTCTCTGTTTGATTTGTAGCTTCAAAAAAACAGCCCTTAATCAAACTGTTTGTCAGATTTTCCTGCGTGGTTCCCCCTTCCAGTGATGCAGGGCGGACCGTCTGACAAGGACAGTTGTCTAGTCTTTCGGATGGGATGAAAAATTGAGGTCCCGTATACACATTGGAGTGCACGTAAAAGATCTCTTGACAGTTGGAATTCGATATAAGAGTAGGCCTTAGTGCCGCGGTCTGGGCAACATTTCCATCTCCATTAGCCCAGTTCGGAGTAGCACAGTAGGACGTTAAACCCCATTTCATTTCATTTCCATTTACCATAAATATCGAAGCCTAAGTAAATTCTCGGATTATCCCCTGCACACGTCTTTTATCTCAGAAACTGTTGTACGTTTAAGTTTCTCACCTCTTCTTATTTGGCCTTTAAACCAAAAATCATATTCCCTAATTCGGGGCACATGAAGTGGAACTTGCGCCCTCCATGTTAAATAAACCAATTTTGGGGGTGTTATGGGTGACTTCCCAAACCACACCCACTACTGGCACAACCTAAGAATAGTGTCTCCTAACCCAGCAATACACCGCTAGCATCCCAAACCTTCCGCACCTTCCATGTTGAACAAGACCCAGCTAGCTGCCGGACTAACGCGGAGCCCTTTAAAACGCGAGGCGTATGCTACTTTTACTACTAAGGTAATCAGGCACACACATGGCCCAATTGGTTATTATTGCGAGTGTGACTTCATTCATTTATGTGGCTATTTTAATGAACTAGCGCTTGAATTGTAGGCACAAAATTAAAACTTACTCCTGATCTTATAGATTTTCGGTTTCCACATTCTCATAAACTCTTGGTCTTTAGAGGAATTATCAGCAGGATGAAAATCGACTGTGCAGCTGTAACAATAACTAATAACATGTTTGTTGCGTCAGCTCCAGAATCTTTAAATCGTTATTATGGATCAACTATAGCAAAGATATCTATATTAAAAATATATTTGGAATTCATGTAGTTATTTATATCGCATATATATGAAACATTTGACTGTTGAGGTTGTTGATTGTGTACGCCTTTAAAATTACCTTTACATAAAATGCGTTTTTTCATTTTCAATCATGAATGTACAGCGCAGTGGACGCTTACGGCTGGCCAACGGGTTTCCATTCACTTGATTTGATTTGTTTATTTGGTGCAAATACTGCAATGTCTATTTTCTGTCTTGTCCGCAGGTTTATCTTGTAGAGTTTTGTTTTGCGTGTAGTGCGGTCCTAATGCACTTACTATTAGACATAATTAAACACAATACCAAAATCTTCTAATCAATTTTGAAACGTTAAAGATATAAGGAATAAAGTATAACAGCACGAAAATAAAATATCTGATTATTTTATTGAGCAATAAATAATATCGGTTTTTGTCTATTTTTTATTGACAGGGTATCGTATTATCATCAATGTTATAAAACAATGTAAAATCAATCTATAATACGAGGCTGTGAATGAGAATAATTGATCGTAACAGTTGAGATATATCATAAGAGAACACAAATTCTTAAACATAATACTACTCCGATGACATTAAGTTCATCAAGATTGGTAAGGGGGAGATTATTGTGCTATTGTATGTATAGTCCAAAAACGTTTTGTCGTAACTACCAAACCAAATACATATCCAGATCGTCAAATCATCTGAATCTAAAAACACCAAATACGTTAATACAACCACGAATGAATTCTGTTTAACAACCAAAATGCGATAAAGTCACTATAACATATATTAGATCAACGTCACTATAACATAATTATATCAGATACAGATGTCACTATAACTTATATCATACACAATCACTATAACTTATATCGGATACAATATCTTACATCATACACAATCACTATAACTTACATCATACACAATCACTATAACTTATATCAGATACAGTCACTGTAACTTATATCAGATACAGTCACTATAACTTATATTAGATACAGTCACTGTAATTTATATCAGATACAGTCACTATAACTTATATCAGATACAGTCACTACAACTTATATTAGATACAGTCACTATAACATTATATTAGATAAGCTGACTACAACTTACATTATATAAAAATCACTTAAACATAAATAAACACAATAATAAAGTATTCCAAATAATTTTAAAAGTTTTGAAGATCTAAGGAATAAAGTATACGACCAAACCAAATACATAACCAGATGAACAAATCATCAAAATCGAGAAACACCAAAGGTAATCATAGCTAATACTTCAAAGAATTCATTCTATTAAAACAACAAAAATGCAAGCTTTTATACTTATATTTGATAGAGTCACTATAACAAATAATAGATCAATGTCACTATAACATATATCAGATACAGTTACGAAAACGTATATTAGATACATTCACTACAGATAAAGTCATTATATGATTTAGTTTTAAATAGTTCATTAAGAAATTTATTGAAAATTAGATTTTATTTTTTAATACTTGTCAAGGTACATAGGGAAAGGGAAAGAGGATAATTTCGGTTCAATTTTATTTCAATAATTCGCTTGTGCGTAAGGGTCTTTTAATAGTGGGAGGAAACCGAGCTTGATATTGAAAATATAGAAAAACTGAGGGGCTCAGGTATATGTTAGTGTTTGGGTAACACAGATACAACACTGGTGTTTGTGTTGTGTAAATATATCCATATTTAACACAACCTCAACACCGCAGACCTTAACTCGGACTGATTTCAAATACTGA